CGAGTATGAAGATGATAAGGACCAAATAGATATTGACGACAATTTTCTTGTAAGCTTACCTGATTACATAAGAAATAATGAAGAAGTAATTTCAGAAAATAGTCAATATGTTGTCCTAAAGGGAAGTAACCTCGGAAGTAACAAAAAAGAAGTTAAAATTAAAAAATCTACATTGTTGTGGTTTTTAATCAACCCAGAAAGAAAGCTAAGTTCTGACAGAATACAAAGAGTAAGAGATGTAAAAACGAATGTTAGTTCAAGTTCGGGTGTAAAAGTTAGAAGCAATCGAACTAAGAAAAAAACAGTAACTATTAGCGAAACAGATACGGAAGATGAAGAAAGCTTTAAGTCAGGTTCATCCGATGACCAATGGGAAGAACAACATGACGACAACGATGATGATTTAGAAAGTACAAATGTATTAACAAATGGTGACTGGATTCTGGTAAAGTTGCCAGGCAAAAAATGTTTTAAGCACTTTATTGGACAGATTTTAAAAATTAATAAAAGTGAACTGACAATAAAGTTTTGTAAAAAATACTCTGATAATAAATTCAAATGGCCAGAGAAGGAAGATATTGCTGTTGTGAATAAGAAGGATGTAATCAAGCAGATTCCCCAACCAAATTTTAATTTTAAAAATAATCGTTTATTGTTTTTCACTTTTAATGTATCGTTTGCGGGATATAATGTTTACTAAAATGTAAGTTATGTAGATCACGATACTTAAAAAATGTTTCTATTTTAAATATTGCATGGTACAACGAAGCATGAAATAAGGTAATCCAATTTATTAAGCACATTTTGATGCCATAACTGTGGGATGAAGAATGTTTTACATTAAAGTTTTCAACACTTTGCGCACACTTTTGATGTTAAAAGGTAGTTACTTTCAAAGTTGTCGGTCAAAATCTCGGTCAAAATTGATGCCGTGTCTGGCGAAATGCCCTGTAATTGGCTTACCCTTGTTGTACTATGGTAATATTCCTTGAAGTTACAGATAGTGTATACCCTAGCATGTACATTTAAGTACATATTAAATCCATTTCAGTGACTTTTAATTATTTAAATACCTTTTAATTTCCTTAAATACGATTTAGTACTTTTCAATATCCTTTAAATACTTTGAATATCAGAAATAATTTTAAATTCTTATTAAATATTTAAATATTCTTTAAATATAATTTAATTACTTTAAATACAAATTTATTGTTTTAAATACCAGGATATTTAATTATGGTGTACGTTTTGCATTCTACTTGCGCACCCCTCGGGTGTAGTTACATTAATTTTAATACCTGTAATGCTAGAAGCATCCGCTAGGCTATATACCTTTTTTTTGTTACGAATTATTTCGTAATTCGTGTTTTGTTGACATATAGTAGCCGTAAAATGTGCAACTTATAAGAACTGGTTTTTGAAAAAAAGTGACAGTGTAAAAATAGTATCTACCAATTTAAATGTTCCTATTGACAAGAACGAAATACCATTACGATATATTTTAATCAATATCAATTTATTTTCTGAAATTACACCTACTAGGCCTGTCTCATGGATGAGTTTGTAAATGAACAAAGCGGGATTGGTCCAAAAATTTCAATTTATATAGGGGAACCTGCGTTACGGAGGCTCTTCAACAAATAATAATAGCGTGAACAATAATAATTCTACGTAATGGAATAAATCGTTACAGGATATTTTCAAAAAGATCGCCCTTCAGACACTTTATAATATAATAATAATCTGTAAATAGAAAAACCCGATTGTAATTATTGTAGGTAACTGATAACGCCAAATTTGAATTCGACTTGTTTATTTAGCAGTTATGTCGGGGCCGTGATTGTGTGTGTGTACATCGTAACGTTTGGTGTTGAAAATATTTTGTGGGGGTTGGATTATGGTGGTGAAAGGACTATGGAGGATGCCGCCGTCCAGAAAAGGTAGAATTTAGAGTGTAGTTTTCAATAATTCGTTTTGAAATCGCGCTAATTTTGAAATTGCCAAGCTTATTGTTTATTATAGCAATAAACGATTACCTAGTTAGGAGCTATAGGCAATTAAAATTAAGTATTGTTTATATGCACACATGCGCATTTGTTAGAAAACAGTGTAAGGTCCTAGTCTGAATTGTATTCTTTCCTCGGATTGGGGGGTATATTTTGAAATGAATGTACCCATTATCTTATGACATGTCATCCAATGATGAATCACTATTTCAAACGCGTTTGATTCATCTTTTTACCGCTTCCTTGTTTTCTAATGGGTAGATTAATACATTGCGTGTACAGGGTGAAACTACGAAAATTTCTATCTTGGGTTATTAGGCGGCAACGATGGGAGCTTTATAGGGGAATCGATGTTGTCAGTCTGTCCGTCCGTGAACACCATTCTGTTCAAACTATCCACAGTTGACCTATCTACCACATGTATGTTACAAGCCCATTAAAAATGGGCCAAATCCAATAACTCCCGTCTCGACCTCCGTAGTTCTGCCGCTTTTTTAGATCTTCTTTATTTATTTATTCATTTATTTATTTAATCAATTTGAGTTGCAAACAGGACAAACCTAAAATAGCAACTACATCGTATTGAAAAAAATATAAACCAATGGTAAATGTGACATTCCACAAGCATAATCAAAATAAAAGCTTAAATAAGGTTAACAGAGTAAATTAAAATATAAATAAAATATTAAAATAAAAATAATTATAATTTTAAACACATAAGTGATAAATTAGTATGCAGGACACAAGTGATGTGCTACTTAAATTCAACAAAGAGTAGAGGCAAACAAAATGTAATTACGTACGCAGTATGAAATAAAATTAAAATTAAGATACAGTAAAATAAATGATGTATGGCAAGATAGTAAATGCGATGCGACGTGTAGAAAAGGAAAAAGGATAAATAACGAAGTTAATAAACCGAATTAAGAGATTTCAAGTAATATTTTAAATAATTTCTTTTTAAATAAATTAAAGCTAAACGAAAAAATGTCCAAATTTCGAAAAGCATTGTTATTAAACAACAAAAACATTCTATTCATTGGGGCATTATAATAGAAATTGGTTCTAGCTTGAGATGATAGGAGAGGCTGTTGATGACGAGGGACATAGGAAGGAGTAATCATTAGAATTTTGGAAAGTAAGTAGTTGTCAAGAAGGTGATTGATAATTTTATATAAGCACATAACATCAATCTTAGTTCTATGCAAAGATAATGGACAGATTTTAAAGTTGACACAGGCAGTTTTATAATCCACATATTCAACATTAAACTTTTTTGAAATAAACTTGAGAAAAGTTTTCTGAGTTACAAGCGCATGAGTACACACGGGAAAGTAGGTAAATTTAATTTTCAGAAGGCCAACTCCTACGATGGCTTGACTTTAACCAATAATACCTCAAAATGAAACTTTTCTTTTGAGAATAATTAAATTCTCGAGGAACAAGTAGGGTGTCCGTACCAGTGCGATACGTAACTTGCGAAATGATTTTTATATCCTCAAACAAAGTATTTTTTTGTTAATTGATACCTATTCTGTGATACTTCTTACGTTTTTAAATTTTTCTCCTTGTGTTTCAGACACTATAACTATCGACAAGACAGTTCATATTAGAAAGAAGGTTCGGTGTAAGATCAATTATTAAACTAGTTTAATGAGGGCCATCCCGTTATAGGAGATGAAAAGGGGTAATGAAGGGTATCAAAAAATATGTATGCCTCAAAATTCTATCCTTTGGCAGGTAAACACTCTGTATCTAAAAACAAGTACGCTGTTAATAGTTCTTGTTTTTTTAAATCTATACTTACTATAGGTGGTAGACTGGGTAGGGTAGGTCCATAATCTAAATGATATTAAATCACCCGCAGACCTTAACATGCTGTGTGCAGGGTAACGATAGTTGTAGGAAATAAACATCGGGTTCGGGGTTATATTGGGGAAATTCTTCTCGCAATTTTCTTCTTGCGTTTTAGTGTATTTCTGGACCTACCTTTTCGTACGTTTAGTTGCCAGCTAGCTCAGGTAAAAATGGGTGACAAATTTGGAAAAGCACTAACTAAAAATGTAAATTGTAATACTCCAATCACGACTCCAATATGTTTTGGAATATTTATGCATCTTTCATATAGGCCTCTCTTTGGACATTTTCACTCCCTCTGTAGAAATTACAACAGCGACGCTAGTTCCAAAAAGCTCATTAAAACTGAATTACGTTTATTACGTTTAAACAGTGAGATAAAAGAACAAATCCTTACAACCTACTTAAACCGAACAACAAAAGCTTCTAACTGAAGTGAAATATTCCTGGAAATCAATAATTTAGCCTATTTTAGAAATTAATGCAAACAATAACAATGAACAAATTTAAATTACGAACTAAACATTGATCAATAGTTCATTACATACGAAAATATACGCGATTGCAGTTAACATTCAAATAGCTCGCACTCTCAAACGGAAATTATAGAGATTATAAAATAATCGTACAGTTATTCGGATCTACTTAGACCAAAAAGGGTCGTTAGTGATTCCATTGTAAATCAACCCTTTAAGAGAAATGCTTTGCACTGTACTTAACTACAGTTGTACATCAGAAAACTATGTCCTAGCGCCTATAGCACAAATGAAAAATAAGTTGAAAAATGTAAAAAATTACATGGCCTTTTATAATTAATAATTTTCGGAAAACAATGGACAATTTCAATATTGAAAATGGAAAGTTTCATCGTAGAACATTTCGGCTCAAACAGTCACGTAAAA